CCCCCCCCCCCCCCCCCCCCTAGATTTCTAGGACCTGTAGTATTAAACCACATCTGCTGTCTCTACCGGTAACCAAAGGTGTCACCAAGTCAACCAGGACCGAAATCTTCGGGATTATAACTTTAATGTGGGATTAACAGTGGTACTCTGCTTTGCCAAATCCCTTAGCAGCCATCTACTGCACAGCCGAAAGAACATCAATAAAAGCTTGTTGGACATGGAGAGTCTTGCGGGGAATACAAGATACAGTGGAGCCCCATGAACCAGACTCATCACTTCATCCTTAACCAGTAAAATAGGGCAGCACTGCTCCACTTTTACACGGCTCCTCCTTCACCTTTATTGGCGTGTATGTGGCTGTGAGCGAGAGAGAAAGCGAGACCCACATCTCGAGACAGAAGAGAGAACCGGGCAGGTGTGGAGCGACTCGGCCATCATTCATGTGAATGGAGGCTGAAGCAAAGAGAAAAGCCTGGGATGTGGAAACTGCTGCATTACGGCCAGATCGAGAGGTGGAAGCACCGCATGGTTGAAACTGTATAAATCTACATCTTACGACTTAAGACATATTTTGTTGACAGTCCACTTCAATAAGCTGCTAGGCCACATCATTTCCTTCGATTTACTGACTGGATAGAATAAACTACATTTAATCAGGGGCTGTCAGGATTTTAGCTCTACTAGCTGGCTATTTCCCAAGTTAGTTTTTAAGCCAGTGATAAGAGCATTGAAACGACTTAATAAACGCCGAAGAAAGCCACTAATGCCATCAAAAGCCATGTCCATCTAACTTAAGGATTACACATCACAACGTTTCGAAAACCGACAGCTTTCATCTTCAAAAGTGAGACACAATATTTTGCTCTTTGGCAGCCTTCATGGCTAGCCTTCAAGAGAACAATCTCAATCACAGGCTCCATTATTTGCTCTGCCAATATCTGTCGGCCACATTAAACTCCAGACCACTTCCAATTTTCCACTAGTTGAGCTTGAGACATTTCCTGTCATGTCCGTGTCTGTGTCTGTCCTCTGCCAGAGAGAGGAAGACAGAATTCAGAAATCAAAGTCCCTTTTGAATCACTTGCCTCACCGTGGGACAAAAGTCTCAAAGCGCTCGCGTTCATCCTCTGCCAAAAGCACAGGTTGAGATATGTCACGTCACTGAAGGCAGGTGGGAGATTACTGGTGGTTACGTGACAGGAAGCTAAAAAAAAAAAAAAGCGTCCCACATGCTGTCAAATGATCTTATGGTGTGCGTTACTGGGATTGGGGTTCCACGCCACCGAATTTAGATTAACACACTTTAATAAATTAAACACATTTAAGAAATGATCATATCTAAGTCATAAGATTTTCAAGGACAAAACTCAGATTGAAAACATATTTGCTATGCGACTATGGCCCTGTTCAGACCTGGCATTAACATGTGTCTTAGCTGATCTGATCACAAGCGGACATGTTCTAAACCCGTCAGTTCAATCCTGGCATTAGAATGTGTGTCTACATGCGTCTTGAGTGACCATTGATCTCACTTCCCGGCTTTACATGCAATTGAACATGTGGCCGACATTATTTCCCTTTGAAAAGAGCAAATGCTTGTCAGATTTAACCAGCAGGAGACAGCAGTAGTAATACATGCTACATGGGTACATGCTATGAACATAGAAATATCAGGTTATTGCCTACCGGCGGTCCCCTGGGACCTCCGTATCGTGTCAGTGTGCGGGTACGTAGAGCTTCACCGACAAAGCTGCGGTATTTGAAGCATTGAGTTGAGAATGTGTTGCAGAAAGTAGTCTGAGCGATCGGATCTCGATGTATCATCAATGCATCCTGGGTGCATTCACACCCGTACTTAAATCTTGTGTTAGGTTCACCCAAGACGCATGTTAATGCCAGGTCTGAGGGGGGCCTTTATGACGACCCGAACGTTTTGAACTTAGAACTTTTGTACAAGAAAACTGAGAAAAACGACCTGACAAAACATTCAATAAACTTCATGCCTGAATAAAAAAGACAAGAGGTTAACACTGACAGCTTGTTTGATTTGGTTCCACTTTGAACTGAATCTAAAATGTTGCGGCAAACGAAACCCAACCCCATTTGTAACACCAATACATTGGTGGCATTTCAAGCATACTGATCTTCAGAAAAATTAACCATCCGCTTCAGCTGCTGTCCGTGGTGCTGATCAAAGACTGCTTTGCAGGATGGGAGTTGCATGGCGACAGAGACACTCTCTGCTTTGCAATTGTCTGGAGTGGTTCTGCGTCCGACAGGAAAAAACATTGAACAAGA